TGCCACGCTTGGTTTCCGCTAGAACTTTCAGTACTTATTATCAGTTTTTGTTCCGATATTAGTCGGATAAGACAATATACCGTTTTTATTTATCAGTTTGAATTTTAACAGTTTTCAGAAAAATCAAATTTTTCATGGTAGTATCCCGAATCAGTTTTCGCAAAGATTAATGTTTTATATTTTATTCAGAAAATATTGCAAAAAATTGCGTACTCTGATAAGTTAAAAAGTCGGGGTGTTACAATTGGTATCAGAGCACGTTTCTGCGTCTCTGAAAAGTTTTTCAGTCAGAAATTTTTAGAAAAAAAAACCTGAACCGTCACACTCACGCCTCACCGACTCCAGGTAAGTGCTGATTCAGTTTTCATTTATAAACATATTACTTTGTCTATGCTCAGAAATCAGTAATCAGACTTAGTTAAGATGCTCGAATCAGGTTCAGACTTTAGAGTTCCAAAATAACTCTAGAATTCAGTATATTCAGACCTAACTTTAGAAATCAGTACACTCAGACATGACTCTAGACTTTAGTATCTTTCGATATGACTCTAGAGTTCCTCAGGTTTCACGTCAGTATTTATCGGCCATTTTTGGCAACTCGTCAAGAGATTTGTGTGTCTCAATAATCAGTCAGAATATCATCACGTGTTCAATAATTTTGAACTTTCTCAATGTTCAGATGCCGCCACGTAGGGAACCCGATCATCCGGCTCCTACTCAGGCTATAGTGATCGCCCAGTTCCGCGACTATCATGCAGAAAAGTTCTCAGGGCAGGAAGATCCTCGCATAGTTGACGAGTGGATTCAGGGCCTGGAGTTTATCTTCGAGGTCATGGAGTGCCCTGAGAGATATCGCGTCATTTGCGCTCAGCTTCAGCTCACCGGTGATGCTAGGCTCTGGTGGAACGCTTACTGGCGCATGCGTCCCGGCGAGAAGGCAAGATGTACGTGGGAGATGTTCTAGGATTTAATCCGCGAGAAATACTACCCCACATACTACCGAGCCGAGATGGAGCGTCAGTTTCTATCGCTCCAGCAGGGTACTCGTACTGTTGACGAGTACGAGAGGGAATTCACGAGACTTGCAGCTTTCGTTCCTGATTTGGTCCCCACGGAGGCCCAGCGAGTGCAGCGTTTCATTGAAGGGCTTTACCCAGCAGTCCGTCATAACATCGTAGGCCACGGGACACAGACATATGCACGTGCAGTCTTCATTGCCAAGGAGGTGGATGCCAACATTAGGAGGGAGGCCGTTCGTGACCAGTTCAAGCCATCCGCCCCTGCTCAGTCATCTTCAGTTCCACCGTTGCCAGCTTTACCATCTACCCAGCCACCAAAGAACAACAAGAGGAAGGGGAAAGGTGCCCCGGCAGATAAGGGGACCCGACGGAGGCTACAGCAGATCCCTCAGTGCCCGACATGCGGACAACTTCACCGAGGCGAGTGTCGCTTTGGTCAGGATGTATGCTACTATTGTCACAAGCCCGGACACTTCG